TTTTTTTGTTTCTCATTCCTTTCACAGTGGATGGATGCATCCACCGTGCAGCCGGACCTCTGCTGAAAGAAGAATGCCGGACACTGAATGGTTGCGAGACTGGAAAAGCGAAAATCACCTGTGGGTACCGTCTCCCAGCTAGATGTGAGTATAGGCAACTGGCCATTTGGTGGACGGGACGAGTAGCTGAATCACTGGATTCAGCCAGAGGGAGAAAAAGAGGTGCAGGAAAGGGCAGGAGGGTTGAAACAGATCCGTACAAGGAAGGAATCAAGAAACGGAGTTCAGTTTAGCCTTGAAAACCAGTGGCTACCAATTTTTTTATTCCTCAACTCAGAACCCTGAATCATGGCTCTGTATGAGAGGAGGGCAAAAACCTCGTTTAAAGTTAAGAACTTGCTAACTCTGAAAGCTGCTTGACAGCATAAACAACGCTCTAGATTAGGCAGTTTGACTACAAAGAGACCCTTAGAATCAGATTAAAGCTCAGAAAATCATTTTTAAGACCTCTCTGGGCACAATGTTAAATATGCTTTGATTGACAGCCAAGCAGGCAGGCAGATCCCGTACCCAGTTTACTGAATCATGCAGTGTTTGAGAATAGTTGCAGTGAAACTGACCGGAGCCGGGAAGGTGTTTCTGTCGCATCCTCCAACTTTTTCTTCTCACTTTTGCTTCAGGGCCCTGCACTCCTTCTGCCCCGTAATGCAATTGGCAAGGTCAGGGTCAGAGACAACACACACTTCTTCATGTCCCTGTCCATTTTCTTTCTCTCTTTTGGCAGCTCTCTGATGCCACTGACAGTGCAGGCGCGTGGCCTTGTCAGTTTCACCAGATAGATAGGCTGGTGTGAAGCATCAGGACGGATGTCAGTTTTCCAGCTTCCTTCGAAAGCAGCCTAGGAGAAGCTGCCAAAAAGGGGAAGATGGTTTTAGACCGCAATTCATATCATCCAGACCTGGTGTTTTACGACCCACGGGCTGCATCCAGCCCTTCAGCTGACCCTGTCTGGCCCACAGTGGCAAGGGTGGCCTTGGCGGGGTGGCATTGGCAGGGGCGGGGCATCATCTGCAGAGGGTGGAGCTTCATCAGCAGGGGCGGGGCATCAGCCACAGAGGATGGAGTTTCAGAAGGGGCGTGGCATCAGCCGCAGAAGGTGGAGCTTCATCAGCAGGGGCGGGGCATTGCCAGGCACTCCCCTCTAAAACAAACTTAGCTGTCAGATTTGGCCCCGCCCCATGCTAAAATATGATTGTGCCCCTGGCGAATCGTAATGTGATCCAAACACCTCCCCCCCCCCTCCCAAAGTGGGACTGTATCTCACCTGCTTTTAAAAAAAATGGCAAAGGGAATATTTCCGTCTCTGCCGTCCCATTTCCGAAGAGCGGGGGAAATTGGCCTTCTCCGTGTTCGGAGTCGCCTGCTTAATTCTTAATAAAAAGGAATTAAGCAAATGAGGCAGTTGCATATTAATCAGAGGCTCGTAAATGCAGCTCGGAATTCATCAGCCGCTACGTGAGCAAAGCGGGGGGGTGGGGGGTGGGGCATCTCGGTTGGGAAAACAAGGGATCCCCATGTGGATGAGCAATCAAGGGAAAAGGGCCAGATTTGATCTTTGGGGTGGGTCGAGTTTTGTTGCTTGACCGGAATGCTTTTCTTGCTAAGGCCGGCCACAAAGCGCCTCCCGATGAGCCTTTTCGGACAGGAAAGTGGGGGCCTTCAGAGATCCTCTAGGCCACCCCCTTGCTCAGGGCAGGGTCAGATTTTGCTGGGTTGGAAAACCCTTTATCCCAACAGCCCAAAATATCCAGAAGTGTGTAACGTTTCCGATTGTGATTTCGACTGTGGAGACGGTTTAACCGGGGTGTTCCGCTGTTCCGAGGCAGCACTTTTCGATGGAGTCCCAATGAGAGAAATGACTAAAAAAGAACAGAGGGAAAACGATGCTGCTAGAAAGAGCTGGAAGCCCCCCACCCCCAAGCCCCCAAATGCCCCCCCTGCCTGGACCTGCCCCCCTGGCATTTGGGGGCTGGGGGGGGCATTTGCATTTGCAACGTTTGGCCTTTGCAAGATCCTCGTCAAACCTTTCCTGCCCTCAATAATCCAAAAACGGGGAACCGGATGCCAACTAGACAGGAAGGAGGGTCTGTGCCAAGCCTTCTTGGTCCTCTAAAGCGGGCACAGGAAGCCCGATCCTGCAAGGAAGGACCCGCCCACCCCCCGCAAAGGTCCTTCTCCGTGCCCCCCCCCCCCGTGGCCAGGCCACGCCAGCCTCTCTGGTGGCCTCCGCATTCCAGGCACGTTGCCCGAAGGTGCTTAACATGCAACGGAGGCAGGAACCGTTTCCTCTGGCAGCAGCTTCGAGTCACCCTGCCCTCTTGCCTGGCCGGGGGGAGAGAGAGAAAGGGGAGGGGGCTGAAGGAGAAGGCAAGAGGGAGGGGGGGCGATTTCGGGAACTGAGCACCTGTCTTTCCAAACGGAGCATCTCTTCTGGCAGGGGAGGGGGGCAGCAGCCAAAGGGGAACCCCCCACCCCCACCCCGGGAAATCAGAAAGGGGTTGAACAGGCAGAGGAGCAGGCTCCAAAGTGAGACCCCCGCTTGGCCCTTTAAGGTTGGGGGGTACTTGGACAGGTTGGGGGGGGGGTGCCAGGAGCCCTGGTGGCGCAGTGGTTAGAAGGCAGCGTTGCAGGCTAGCTCTACCCACAGCTGGGAGTTCGATTCTGACTGGCTCAGGGTTGACTCCGCCTTCTGTCCTTCTAAGGTGGGTAAAATGAGGGCCCAGGTTGTAAGATGCTGACTCCGTATAGAGAGGACTGTAAAGGACTGTGAAGCAGTATTTATTTATTTGATTTATATTGCCGCCTATTTGCCCATGGCGGCTTACACAGTGCAAGTCTAAACGGTATTGCTACCTTCCTTCCTTCCTTTCTTTCCTTTCTTCCTTCTTTCCTTCCTTCCTTCCTTCCTATCTTTCCTCCCTCCCTTCCTTTCCTTTCTTCCTTCCTTCCTATCTTTCCTATCTTTCCTTCCTTCCTTCCTTCCTTCCTTCCTATCTTTCCTATCTTTCCTTCCTTCCTTCCTTTCCTATCTTTCCTTCCTATCTTTCCTTCCTATCTTTCCTTCCTTTCCTTCCTTCCTTTCCTATCTTTCCTTCCTTCCTTCCTTCCTTTCCTTCCTTCCTTCCTTTC